AGAAATCCTCCGGAAAAGGCTTTATTTTCCGGAGAATAACGTCTAGACTGGCGCTTTTCTCCTGCTTTTCCCCAAGCCGGAAAAAAAGCGGCAGCCATGTTAATGCAAATGCCGCGGGGGATATTTAAATCCCCCGCGGATTTGCCTATTCCAACGTGCTACATTAGCATCCCTTTTCCGAAAGGGGTGCCAATGTAGACACAGCCTCTAAGTAGTTTGTGGGAATGAGTTAGGCACCTGTATTGTTCCACACAAAACAGCTGGAAGGAGCAGTTGCTGGTTCCTACTGCTCTTACTGTTTTAGCTGAATGGTTGGAACATTCCTTTGGGATGAGGGAGATAACACTTCAGTTCCCCCCCTCTACCCAAGTGAGAGAAGAGCTGTAAGTGGGAGGCTTCCACTTCTCAGCACCCTAGCCATTGAAGTATGGAATAGTTTGATGGGCTCAGTCTCAAGTTCTTCCACTGTGGCTAACTAATGAAAGAGTGATTGGAATGGGGGAAACTAAATTTGGGGTCTTCTATCTTCTGTGAGTGCCCTCATCTCTAGACTACAAGTCTTTCTCTCTTTCTTTGACTCAGTTACATTACCACTGTAGATAAATAATTAAATAGTCAGTGGTCCAGAGAGCATGAGAATGACACTGGTTCTGTGCTTAGGCATCTAAACAGCTCTCGATCTGGGACTTAGGAGCCTAAGCCTCTGACTTTCCATGAGATTTAAGCTCCTAAATACCTAAACTGCTTTTGAAAATGGCACTTAAGTTCTCAAGTCCCTTAGTTGCTTTTACAAAAGTTATCCTTTCTTTTCAGCTTTATATATTCTAAGCCAAACTGTATTTACTTGCAGAGAGGAAAGTCATAGAAAAAGCATAACTATCAAAACCAAAGAGGAAATATTGCTAAATTACTTTTGTTGATTGCTTTTTCTCCTCCCCATTTTTCTTTTTATCCACCCCCCTTTTATAATATTTTTACATCTGTCTGTGCCCTTGGTTTTTCAAAGTCTGCTTTTTATCACTATTTTAAAAATATTATTTTTTAGCATTGATTACCTACAGTTTCCTTGCTTGATTTCTGTTCCTCACTATAATTTTTCTCTATTTAAAACTGTTTGCTTCTCTTCCCTCTTGAGCACATAATTATAGCTTTACAACTGTGATAAACTGTTTTGGTTTTCTCCTAATTGCTTTCTAAGTTTTACAGTAGTACTGATTAATGAAATTTGGATAGTTCACACCTACTTCCTAGATTTCTTTCATTGTGCCGGAGTAAATTAAAGGGAAAATGTATCGCTTTCTGTCCTTTGCGATGTTTGATCTTAAAATAGTTCAGTGCCTTTTTTTATAAAAAGGTGAATTTATCATATTGAACCCCACAAATATTATTTCTTACAATGTAGAAGGAAATTGTGATTCATTCTGAGAACTCAAAATCATCAGTTTACACTCTGAAAATATGTAGGATGCAAGAACTTTAGAGAGGAATCATCATCTATAATATTCCAAAGATACAAAATCCCCTTGGCTGGGACTATGCTGAAAGTTTGCTTATTAGCCAGGTAGAACTCCCTACCAGCAGGTGCTGAGGGTTTTCAACTTCCTTTGAAGCCCATGAGAGTGGAGGATACCCAACTTTGCAGGATAGTGCCTGTCTCTTCAGTGACAACGGTCCTCCCCCTCCCCTCCAGTAGCTTGAAGAAGGCACAGCAGAGTTTGACAAGCCAGGCTTTAGTTTCCCCATCCCCGTACAAATAGCGACCTTATCTGACATCAGTGCCACGCCTATTAGCCCAATGCAAGCTAATGAGATCTTACCGGTATTTTTTGGGCATACTCCTTGCCATTAGGCGTGAGCATCCTGGCGGTGTGGCATTTGCCTGTCGATTTCCCCAACTCATTGCCATTAGGTAGAAAGCTTTTTTCCTAAAAAGGAGGCGGGGGGAGAGGGAGAATCCAACACAGCCGATATTTTAGAACTGTAGTTTGTAACGTGGAGGCTTGCAATCGCTATTTTGACACCTTGCATATTCCCTTTTACCACCCGTCCCCTCCTCCCCACGGACACACAGCGCGGGATAACTTGCTCTGCACTGCAGCTAGCCCGCGCGGCTACCATGGCTCACGTGGTTCAGAGCCCAAGCTTAGTTTTCGGGCCCCGTACAAACTTGCACCACCTCCCCCCGCCCCGCCACACACACACTACTTTGCAGCCTGGGCCGCAATGTGCCCTCCCCCCACGTGGGGGCCCTGGGTGTGCAAAGGACGCCGAGCCAAGGTCTGCATGTGCCAGTGCGAAGAAACTCCTGCAGCTCCCGTAGCGATCAGCGGCCCAGAACGGAGACAGCAGCAGGCAACGGACCGACCGCCACCTAGCCCAGGTTGGAAAGCGACGGGAGGAGAGAGGACGCCGAAGGGGTTGGTAAACCCGCCCCGAGGCCAGAGATCGCGGCGTGCCGGGGGCAGCAGCGCCGACCTTTGGGAGGCCGGGGCGGCGGGACAGGGCGCTCACCAGGTCCGAGTAGAGCGCCGTAGACAGGCTGTGGATCCTGTCCGAGTGCTGGATCACCCGGTCGAAAAGCTCGGACACGGACAAGAAGCGGCAGCTGGAGTCTCCCTGCCGGCCACAAATCGCCACGACAGCGGCTCCGGGCGGCTTCCCCAGCAGGCAGAGCAGGGCGCACAGCCAGGCGGACCCTGCAAAGAGCGGGGAGAGCGCACGGATGGAGCCAGCCCGGCGCGCTGCTCTGCAGGCCAGGCGGGCGTAGGGGCGGCTACTTACCTTGGCGCGCGGCGCCCATGGTGCAGGCGGCAGCGACGGGCCGGGTTGCGGTGGGCGCCTGGCTCCCCTATATATGGGCGCCGCGCGTGGAGATGGGCACCCAGGGTGAGCCAAGGCCACGCGGGTGCGGGCGGGGCGGCCGCTGTTCGTCATTGCTGGGTTCCTGCGGACTTGCCCTGCCGGCAGCGGGGATTAGCACATGGCGCGGAGGGGCCTGGCGCCCGGGCACGCAGCTGCCCTTCCACGCGTCAGTCCCCCGACGGGAACTAGGCGCCTGTGGAAGCGCGAGGGTCAGCGGGTAAGAGAACTGGCTTGTTGCGCGGTAGGAATCGGCGCGCACATGCCCCTTGTCAATGGGCAGGGGCCAGATTTTCCCTCTGCCTCCCCACTTGGAAACCAGTCCCTCCATGGACTCCAGTGGAATTAGGCCTGATCTAGCACAAGCCGGAGAACTCACCTTGGGCTGCATCACCAGAGCATCACAGCCAGGGGGTGTGGGTGGCTGGGGAGAGCCTGGCCAGTCAACAGCTTGGTGCAGGAGTGATGGAAGATTCTTAAAAGTGTGATGGGGGGCACGCAAGCACCCAAACTGCGGTCAGAGGTGTAGGAGTGGCCTATTGTGGAGCCTGGTCCAGCCTCACCCGGACGGCTTCCTGGACCCGAACCCCGTGGTGGTTGGTCTGCTGGGTGGCGGCCATGTGGGACTGCTGGTAGGCCTGGCCCTCATCTACCATCCACCCTGGGAAGAAGGCCTCCCCCCTCGCCTCAATAATATTGTGGAGCACGCAACATGCCGAGATGACCTCTGAGATGTGGTGCTCCCCCATGTCCAGGCGGGTCAGGAGGCACCTAATCTGTGCCTTCAGATGGCCAAAGGCGCACTCAATGGGATTGTGGGCCCGGTCCTGGTGGCTGTTGAAGGTGGCCTGGCTGTAGTCCAGGTGGCCGGTGTATGGCCGCATCAGCCAGGCCATCGGGGGTAGGCCGCATCCTCCAAGATGCACACTGGCATCCTGATATCCCCAATGGTGAATTCCCGCTGGGTGAAGTAGGTGCCCACCTCCAGCCTGAGGCACAGGCCTGAGTGCCTGAAGATGTGAATGTCGTGGGCCCACCTGGACCACCCCACATAAATGTCCTGAAACCGGCCCTGGTGGTCCACTAGCGCCTGAAGCACCATGGAGCAGTAGCCCTTCCGGTTTATGAACCGGGCCGCTTGGTGCTCTGGTGACCAGATGGGGATATGGGTCCTGTCTACAGCTCCCCCCACAGTTCGGGAACCCAAGGCTGGCGAAGCCAGTAATGGTGGTGTCCACGTCCCGGGGGCGTATCACCTTCTGGAGCAGCACATCATTGATGGCGTTGACGACCTGCAGAGGGATGCAAGGAATGAGACACAGTGCTTACATGGGCCCCTGGAGTGTGCTCACCCTCCCTTTAATGGCCCCTCCCCCCACGCAGGCCAGGGCCCTCTGCCCCCCGGGATCTCTCCCTCCCCCATCAGCGGTGCTGTGTGCAGGAGGGACAGCGTGACCCTCTGTGTGCTGGGCTTCCTCCGGTCTGGCCCTTTTCCTCTCCCAGGATGAGCCCATGGTCCACGGAGGGCCTTACCTACCGGACGACCGCACCGACGGTGGACCTGCCCACCCTGAACTGGTTTGCTACAGAGCGGTAGCTGTCTGGGGTGGCCAGTTTCCAGAGTCCAATCACAACCCTCTTCTCCACAGGGATGGCGGGGCGCAGGCGGGTGTCCTGCTTCTGGAGCGCAGGGGTGAGCCAGGTGCAGAGCTCATGGAATGTCCCCCTGCGCATCCAAAAGTTCTGCATCCATTGCTAGTCTCCCCATTGTCCCAGCACCAGGTGCCCCCACCAGTCCCCACTGGTGTCTTAGCTCCAGAGGCACCCGTCAGTGGTGAGGTGGGGGGACCCGAACCCAGCTGCAGCCATGGCGAGGTCCTGCACCTGCTGCCCAGTCTCCAGCTCCTGCTGGAGCAATGTGGCTCCCTGGGGGAGGAGCTTTAGCTCCAGAGGCACCCGTCAGTGGTGAGGTGGGGGGACCCGAACCCAGCTGCAGCCATGGCGAGGTCCTGCACCTGCTGCCCAGTCTCCAGCTCCTGCTGGAGCAATGTGGCTCCCTGGTGGAGGAGCTCCACAGCCTCTGTAATGGCCATGAGGAGTGGATGTTGCTGGCTGGGGTCCTCCTCCTGCTCCATGGCTGTGATGGTGGCAGCGAGGGTGCTCAGGGGCATTTGCCAGGAACAGAGGTGACAGGTGCTGTTCTGGCTCTCGTTCCCTCAAAAGGGTGTGTGAGCATGCAGCCACAGGGAAACGGCCATCCAGGAGTCCCTTTAAATACGTTTCCCAGTGGGGGTCTGGCGCATGTCCACAGACCCTGCTGGTGACCTCTTGACATGGCCGATATGCTTCCGGAGACACGTTCTTGCACAAGGGCTTCCCGCCAGTGTGGACGCTTTCTTGCACAAGAGCTCAGTGTTCTTATGATGCGGTTCTGGTCAGTATAGACATTTTCTTGTGCAAGAGATCTTGCGCAAGATATTCCTGCGCAAAAACCCGCCAGTGTAGACATAGCCCTAGAGTGAAGTGTTAGTTGCATTTCTAGGGAACTTTTACAGCAAAAAGGTGCCAATCAATGTTCTCACTCATCTTTTCCTTCCATGTGCAGTAGTTTTTTTTTTCTGTGCGTTGAGGCATGTGCGAATGTGCACCACAAATAGCTGTGGGAGCTCTGTTAATCAGCTGGGCAGCATAGGAATCTCTCCTAAGCAGCCACATAAGTGCACAGCTTACAGGGAATATTGTTCCTACAGGATTGAGCAGCATCTGAGTAGGGGTTTTGAGGATCTCAGTGATGCCCAAATCTTGGATTTAGATGTTCAGAGTTGAAAGTTAGGCACCTATGTCCTTTTGTGGACTTTTACATTTACATTTTTCTGGTAACCTCTGATATTAATAAAACAATGAGGAATCCTGTGGCACCTTAAAGACTAACAGATTTGTTTGGGCATAAGCTTTTGTGGATAAAAACGACTTTGTCAGATGCAGAGTTTTTTTATCCATGAAAGCTTATGCCCAAATATATATGTTGTCTTTAAGTTGCCACAGGACTTCTCATTTTTTGCAGATACAGACTAACAGGGCTACCCCTCTGAGAACTGATACCGCTCTCATCCAGAAGGTAAAATGTCCTCCAGTCTATTTATCACCAACATCAACAATGCTTGCATTGTCTCTTGCTCATGAATATTCATAATTCTATGTTTTTTTCAGGTTGAATACATCACCAGGCAAGAACCATGGATAGTTTTGAAAATAACAATCCAGGGTAAGCACAATAAAAACATTAGCTAAATGAGAAACATTACAAATAATTGTAGATTATAGCTTCTCATCTTCTTGTACCTTTGGATTCCAGAGCCCAGGCTCCATGATGTAGCACTAGTTTTATTACAGTTTACCAGGAAAAAAAAATCTGGAATAACAGTAGAGAATCGGACCCTATATAATTCTTAACATGTTCACTGGTATTTTATTCCCTGTGAAGCGCTACATGACAGAATCAGAGAAGCTTCTACAGGAGACTTTTTGTACAGCAGGACACCCAAGTTACCTCTGTTTCTTCTGACCTATGATTACTGAACCTGTCACTTAAGTAAATTAGCCACTGTTGTGTTGGCTGAGGGCTAATGAAAACCAGTTATCAGAATATTGCTGAAATCAAGTTCAGCTTCTTTCTGGAGGCAAATAGAAAGAAAAAAACAACAATTGCTTTCCCATGCTGGTAAGAGCCTTGGCTTTTCCTAAAAAACTTTTTCCTTCCAGCTTTAGCTAAACGCTACTCTCTTTGTTAACTGGACAAATCTTTAAGTGGGGGATGAGAAAATGAGATTCCTTTCTTCTCTCAAGAAAGGTTGAAAAGATAGTGAGCTGTAGAGATTTGAAAAAAAGAAAAATAGTGAAATGCCTTTCATGCATTATCTATTTAGCTATCATTCACACATTCTTCTCATAAGAAGATGACTTTTCTCTGTGAAGAGAGAACTATATGTGAGCATGGAATATTGGTCTATAGTATAAATAGTATATTATAACAGTTGTACTGATTTAACAAAATTTCTTTAAAACTGATTTAGCTAAATAAGTGCAAGATCCTATTTTAGATTAACTTAATTAATTTAAGCAAAAGATAAATTGATTTTGTTAATGTAAATATATGAAATCCCCCCCCCCACGCTAATCCATGCTGCCTCTTCCCACCCTAAGAAGTCCACATTTTTAATACAAATTCACATATCTTCTGAGTCCGTCAGTTTAGCTGTGGCTCTCTGACTTAACCTTGGAAGGGTTGGCTGTGGCATAGATACACGTGATACTTTGTTGCAAGAACTTGAATACTTGTGCCTCCTTGTCCTGCATTTTGCTTGTGCCTCCTTGGGAATCCGTAAGTTAATTTTTAAAGTAGTTCATTAAAGTCAATACAATGTTGCCCTCACTTTCTTAGCTTTGCCATATCTTTCACTAATAAAAGGGATCTTCATTTTTGTGATAAAACTCCCAAAATATTCTCATAAAGATATAAAAATCCACATTTTTGCACAATTAAAGTGAAATGTTGAACTTTAGTTCTTCTTTGAGTGATGTCCCCATAGGTGCTCCACTGTTGGTGTCAGGTTTGTCCCAGCACCACAAATCAGAGACTTTTAGAGCAGTGTCCAGTCAGGCTGCGCATGTGTGATCAGCATGCGGTGTTTCTGTCTTTGAAGTTAGCATGCACAGCCTGACTCCCCTCAGCTCCTTCTTCCCTGCCCTTGGATTTTCAACTCTCTCCTCAGCGCACTATTGAAAAAAAAGATGTTTTTAGATAGATAGTATAGACTTACCTGTTAGTTCTTTCCTGTGAAACAGTTAAAATAAAAAAAAGAAAAGAAAGAAAGAAATCCCAACCCATTTTTTTCCTTTAGCTTGTTTATAGTTTAGTCAGAATAACAGTTTACTGCTGCACAGCAACAAGCCACAGCAATCTATAGACTGCAACCCCCCCTTGACAGAACAGGCAGTTTTACTCATAACTAATAGTTTACA